TAAATTAATATACGATAGACTGGCCATCAGTCACTTAATCACCGACCAATACAATTTCTAGGGCCTAACCCAAAAGGTAAATATGTAAATGGTTTTATATTATCCTTATTCTCCTCACTAAAACGTTCGGGATCAAATTTATTGGGATTTTCATAATATTGAGGATCACGATGTATACCAATAGCTGGTATCCAAAGAGCGTCACCTTTTTTAATTTCCAACTTTTGACCGGTTTTCAGCTCATAAGTTATATCATCGGTACACACCCGATCCATTACAGGAGCTGCGCTCCATTTGCGTAATGTCTCAGAAACAACCATATCCATGTAACGCATATTCAGTATTGCATCATAAGTTAAGGCTTTGCCATTCAAATTACGATCGACATCCTGAATTTCTTGTAAGAGTTTCTCTTGAACATCGGGATTTTCCATAACCTCATGGGCAAGCAAACATATTAGCGAGGCAGCTGTCTCGAAACCAGCAAAGAAAAATAAAAAGCATTGCCCCACAATATCGATGTCGCTCCACTCGCGATTATGTGATTTCAAGTTGTCACTTTTCAGCATGCCTCTTGCCTCCATTAGCATATTAATCATATCTGGCCTTATAATATGATTTTCTTTACGATATTTCATCGCATCCAAGACCAAATGCATAAAGTATTCGGTTGACTTCTTATCAAATAGCCCGATCCCTAGAAGCTTTATAAAAAAACTATTGTTGCAAACCTTTGAACAAAAATCTTACGACATTTAAAAAAATACCTTCATTAATTTTCCTATGTGCACGTAGAGGAAAAATTTTAAATTTTGTATAAATGTAAAAGTAGTCACTTTCTTGCCCATCAGATAGAATTCGTTATTATTATTTTCGAACGAATTTACTTCTAAGCCGAACGCAGTCGATGCAATTATGTCATTACTGTATCGAGTAACGAAATTTTTGACATCTATTTCGAGGCCTTGACTGGCACTTTCTTTCTGTTGTTGCTTTAAATAGGCCGTAGCATCATTGGCGACCTTATTCATTAACTGAAACATTTGTCGCATTTTACTGCCGGTAAAAGCTGGGCTCAAAGTACTGCGCATATCTTTCCAACGGCTATCTTTCATCATAAACAATGAAGCACCAAAGAGATTATTTTTATCGTTTTCATCGCCAAAGTCCGTACGATGGTTAACAAAATGATCAAAATCCTTGACAGTTATCTGTTTTAGCAACTCGGGATCTCGTATTAAGAGCACCGGTTGTCGTTGATCGAAAAAGCCATAGACTCTGCAAATATAAAAAATATAAAAAAAATTTTTGCTTTATTGAATATCGACAAGCTTATTATATATACACATTAAGGCGGTATTATCAGGCGGTATCATCAGCGGTCTAGTCACCAGTGACCAGAGTAAGATAGAAACATTTGAAGTCTCTTAATCCTCACAAAATCTAAGCGAAATTCTGTAAAACTTGACAAACTAGAACGGTAGGCTCAAATGAAACAAGTAAAAAAATTTAATTCCGTCGGTACCGAATCTTTTTTATACCCATTATCGTAACCCTAAAAAAGACGAAAGGGGTCGAAGAACAAGATTTTCATATTCTATAACATGGAGAGGGCGCAGCTGATTTCTTCTATTTTCAAAATAAAATTCCAATAACAATATTTTAATAAAAAAGCTTTTGTCGTGGAGGCATGTGGGCGTTGTAGGTGTACTTTTTGCAAAAGTTTACCTCAAATCCATATTCTTACGCGTTATCTTCACTTTCGCTAACGGTAGAATGTTTATCATAAATACTGCAAAGTTGCGCAAACAGACAGAAGGAGAAACACACAGGTGGGTCTGTTTAGATGTATTCCAAATTTCAAAGTGACGAAGAATTTTTATATTTTATGGGATTTTTGAAGCTAATTTCTGCGCCTTATAAGGATATTGAAAAAAGTTAAAATTTGATACACTATAATATTGGGTAGGTGTGGTCAATTGTTTGCATTTTTGTGCGCAGATGCTACAGCATCACCCAGAGAATAGACGTTCAAAAGTTTTTATACTTATTTGCTATAGTTTATGAGTAGCGAGCAAAAAACTGATTTTACATTCCTTTTGAAAAACAGAGGTGTTCTCAGTGTACGTGTTGTGTGGGCGTGTCCTTCAAACGATTTGGCCCATTTTCAATACCAACCTGCATGCAAGAACCTTCAGTTATTACACAGACGGACAGATGGACATGCTTAAACTGATTTAGAATATGATGCTGATCAAGAATATATATACTTTGCACACATCTCACATGCTTCCTTCCGGGCGTTGCAAACGTTTTTTCGAAGTGGATACATCCATCATAAAAATAATAATAATTTAATAATGTGAACATTGCTTTATTGCGATAAATTCACTTCCTGTGCATTTCCTAGGGCTAAAGATTGTACATAGCGCTTTTCTAGTTATTGGATAAAACGGGTTTCTCGTTAAAAGTTAATATACGAAAATCATGCATACTACGCTTATGTTATGTACGACGTAACAGTTCAAGTTCAAATCGTGGAATTAAGCCGGTAAATTGGCAATGACAATAAACGGTTTAACGGTTTACATATTTAATTCTCATAACAAGTTGAACATCGATTTATTCATTTACATTCAAAAGAACGAAATATTTCAAACTTACTGCCCATCGTGTTCACTATATAAGTCAACAACTATATCAATTATTGATTTACGTCTTAAAACCAACTCCCACATGTTACCAAACATGAATACGGGCTTCTTATACGCAATTCCGCGTTTAACGAAGAAATCATTATTTACCGTGGCCCATATATAAAACAAATAAATCGCGAAAGAGAACAATAAAACTAATTCTAACCACATATTTATCAAAATCTAATAGAAAAATATAGAGAAAACTCAAACACACGTGCAGTAGATAAGGCGAAGTTAGAACCTTTTAATTTCGCGCCACTTGTTCAACTGAACTGCTGTGCGGGTAAAAGTGCAAAAAAAAAACTTGTCAATCTTGTGCATTTATCTGGTTAATTTTTATTATAAAATAAAATTTAATACTAATACATTGCATATATGTTCAGAATACAAAACTGAACGGCTATTATTTACTCTACTTTATTACAATACACATTCTTTCCCTATTATGCCTCAATGAATTTTCATTTAACACGAATACCAGAAAGTAGATTTAATATAAAATTCACATGTAGCTTTCATCAAACATAAATCAAAACAAGTAAGAAAATTTAATTCTATCGAGACCGAATCTTTTATACTCATCACCGTTTAACTACCGAAAAAAGGCGAAAGGAGTTCAAGAACAAAATTCTCACGGGGGTGAGAGCAGTTGATTTCTTCCATTTTTAAAGTAATAGTTTCTGGCGTATAGATGTGCAGGCGTTGCAGGTGTGTCCTTTGAAAAGTTTAGCTCAATTCCAAATTCTTTTGCCAAATTTATACGCGTTATCTTCACTTTCGCAAACGGGAGAAATGCTACAGAGTTGCGCAAACAGACAGATGGACAGACGAACAGGCGGACATGTTTAGATGTAGTCCCAATTTAAAACTGTACGCGATATCTTCACTTTCGCAAATGGGAGAATGTTTAATGCTACAAAGTTAGTCAAACAGACAGATGGATAGGCGGACCTGTTTAGGTGCACTTCAAATTTGAAACCGGCCAAGAATTTGTATACTTTATAGGGGTTTTGAAGCTTGGTTTTGCGTGCTATTAAGGTATTGAAAAAACAATTCAACTTTGATATGCTATAAAATCGGGTAGGCGTGGTCAATTTTTTCGTCCATGGAATATGTGTATAGTTTATGAGTAATGAACAAAAAACTAATGACACAGACGGACAGACATGCTTAAATTAAAGAATATATATATATGGTGTGGTTTCGGATGCTTCCTTCTGGGCGTTCCACACGTTTTGGCAAAATGAATATATCCCTCATCCTTCGGCGATGGACATAAATATTCATCTCAATCATCTGTGAGATATTTTTTAATAAATGGTGAGAATCGACTAATTTACTTATCGACGATCGAGCACTTTCTCATTCGTTAGGATAGATTGATAGCGTAAAAATTTGAAATATTACCTCATACTTTTAAAATACATAGCATTATTTTCTATTATTCAGTTGAGAGAACATTTTTTTCGTTGAGCTTGAAAAGTAAGAAAATCTCATGAACGTAATATGTGCCCATAATTATGAAAGTGACTTAAGTCATACATTTCTTGTTTCGAGATATTTAATTATTTACATTTGAATAAATTAAAACAATTAAGAACATTATAGTCGAGCAAGGCCGACGTTTCGATACTCTACACCATGTTGTCTAATACAATTCTTAATTTTATTATAGAATACAAAAATTATATCTTATTTCTATATAAAAGTATGTTTGTCATGTGCACATTTATGTAGACCATGATCCAAAAATAGTCGTATATGGTTCAAATTTTGTAGACTTCATTTTTGAACGAAATTACTATAATGTTATCGGTCGATCTTCGTCACCACATATTAAAACTTCGACTTTTCTGCTCTACAAAGGATCAATTTTCGTAAAAATTCTGTTCGGAGTAAGATCAAAAAATAGGCCAATATTGTCCCAATTTACTACTACAAATTACTATTACCTTTTTGTCTCCTAATCTTCAGTGTTCGTTATATGAGGAGGTTCAAAAATTGCCCCAGCTGGTCCAACCTTCTCTTACCAATTTAAAATGCCGAAACACTATTACTTAGCCGTTAAAGAAATTAATTTTCTTATTTGTTTTTTTTTTGTCATTTCTGCAACCACAAAAACACGGTTGTTGGGTGGATAGGAATGACCAGATACAAACAATTTGTGGTCTATCGTTTCAATATTATTCAATATTTTTTGATGACAGCAATTTTCATCTATGTTAATAGATGTTTTGCATGAGCATGAAAATGCATGATGCTACTTTCTGTGCACCTCCCGAAGCGGTAGTTTTTTCCTCTACATACATTCTGATATTATGATCATGGAAATTAAAGAAGCCCAATTTGTATGGAAACATATTATCGCTTACAACAAAAAAAAAAACAATAACCAAACAGAAAATTTTGGATACGGAAGTGCTTTGTGCAAATCCATAATATTCCCTGGGATTTTCTTTTGCTTTATTCTGGTTCTTTGCAAGACAGCTCCTAGTTTGTTCGGCATTTTGCAAATGAAATTTATCTTCTTCATTAATGCATGCTTCGATTTTTCCCTTCACCAAATTGCATTTTTAGCATATGTCCTTTTGTGGAGTATGCAAATTCAAATTAAACTCAGATCCATTTCTTAATAAATGATTGCTTATTTTCCTCATATGTATCAACATATAGGCTATATGTTATGATAGGCTACGACTATCTAAATCAGAACCCAAATATTTTCGATCATGAGTGTAACGAACTCTGGTGTATTTGACTTGGACCATTTTCATAATTAACCATAAATGAATTTCATATAATGTTGAAATTACAATCACTACTTAAGTGTTTCATTTTGACGATATCGTAAAAATTATATTGATTTAAAAAGCCGCAAGTGTTATAGAGTATACTAACTTAGTGCGGTCGTATGGAAGATACAGAAGGCGTAAGATTGAGCTATCTTTTATTATACCGATTGATTCAGAATCATTATGTCAACTGACCTCAGCGCGTCTCTCCGTCTGATGTCTGCCCATAGAAATTTGTGTTTAAGCTACAGGTCGCAATTTTTTAGATATTTGCATGAAATTTGGTACTGTGACGCCTTTTCGCCCAAGGGCGAACGCTATTGAATTTAGTTAGGATCGAATCATTCTTTCGACCGTTCCCCAAATTCCAAAAACTAAAAGTGGCTAAGTAGTATTACAAAAGTAAGCTCGACAAAATCTGGACCATCTGCATCTGCATATTTTTTGATCCTGCCCCATGTAAAGATTAGATTAGTACTAAACTTGTACTACTTGTACCTTTTTGTGATCTATAATAGAAAGAGGAGTTGTGTTAAACAATGTGGTGTAGGATATTTAATGGTCGGCCTTGCGCGACTATTTGTTCTTACTTGTATGGAATTAATTTAGTTTAAAATAATGTAGTATGAAATAACTATTACACTCATTTTTTTTTTTTTAAATTTGACTTAGACCATTTTCATAATTATGGGCACATATAGAAGCCGTATAAATGTATAGTTACTTCTTTAGTAGTAGTATAGGCTTTGTTTTTGGGTTTTCTAGAGCTCGATGCAATTTAGTTTATGTAAAACTATATACCTAAAATTAAAACTAAAATATTTCCTTAAATATTCAATTTCAATTTCGAAAACTAGTTGTCTGTGTCGTAAACTTCCAGAATTTGCCCCAATTAACCCAGGCTAGTTCGACTCAATGCAATGAACAGATCTGCATGCAATAAGTCGTCGATAAACTTTTCAATGTGTGTGTTATTATTTTCTTTTGTTCTCCTTTATAGTGAATAACAAATAAGAAGTAACAAATATATACTAAGTCAAGTAAGAACATATATTTGGACAAGGCTGGGCATTAAATACCCTAGTACACGTTTAGTCCTTATATAGGCTAAGGTACAAAAATAGGTGGTCCAAATTTTCTAGAGTTCATTTTTGTACAAAATTACTACAAAATCTTCGTCACCA